TCTTCCTCTCTGCTGAATGAGGGAGGGAGCAGCTGGGCGGGAAAACAAGCTGGCTGACTTTCTCTGGCCGAGGCTTTGTGTTTTAAGTCGAATCTGTTTTAAATCAGGACATATTCTTCCAGCAAAGGAGACAGAAAGGCAAAGAAGGTACTGTTTTTGCATTTATAAGACGGGAAAACAGCAGATAGCCTTCGTACCTACAAATTCAGACGGCCTGCTTACTCAACTTTGCTTTCCACCAGGGCTTCGGCAGCCACGCCTGCACATTAGAATCGTCTACGAAGCTTGTAAAAACCCTAATAACACACGGGCTATTTCCCAGACTGATGAAGTAAGAACCTCTGGGGGAGGGGTGCAGGCACTGGTCACCCCTGGGAGTTTCCAATGTGCACTCAGGTCGGCATGGCTACCCCAGTGTTTAGGAGGGGCAAACATCTGCCTTCTCCCTTATCTTGCCAAATCCCGTTGAGCTGGGACTGGGAAACGCTGACCAAGAGATTCCAGGAAGAACCACCACTTTCCCCTTCCATTTGAGAAAAGACCAAACACTTCCCTCTCTGCTTGAAAAATGTGGAAATGTGTATATACTAGAAAGATGTCATCAGAACAAATATCTGTAAAATACAAAGAATTAGCATTTTTCACGAGTTAACAGGCCTAAGGATGACCTTGCACCTGCTGGGTGAGTAGACACAAGGAAGACCATGGACTGAGCACCCAAAACCCAGACAGAAAGAGGGGCGCCTGGGTGGCTTAGTTGGTTAAGCGTCTGACTCTTGATTTCAGCTCAGGTCATTATCTCGTGGTTCATGAGTTCGAGCCCTGCATCAGGCTCCATGCTGACAGTGTGGAGCCTGCTTGCGATTCTCTCTCTCGTTCTCTCTCTGCCCCTCCCCTGCTCGCATGAGCGCGTGCACTCTCTCTCTCAAAATAAACAAACTTAAAAAAATTTTCTTTTCATAAAAAATAAAGAAAAACAACAACCAGAGACAAAGAGGTTAAGAATATCTAGCTCACTGAATCTATTACACAGTGCCCTGGCAATGACTTTATTCACTTTATTTGCCTATGGCAACAGACCTGTTTCCAAGGATGTGGACAAGAGAACATTTTTCTGAGCACATGACTATAAAGGGATTGGGGCTGTAAGTGTGGGAAGGTTTGCGTGCATGTGCGGACACACGCGTGGACAGAGGCAAGAAATCTCCCTCTGGGTAAAAGTTACTAAGTAGAATGGCACCTGCAAACTCATATTTAAGGATGAGAAAGGCCTGGTCCCCCAACCACTCGCCTCATTTATAAAACTAAGAGGGTGGGGACACCCTGGCTGACTCAGTCAGAGGAGTGTGTGACTCTTGATCTCAGAGTCATGGGTTTAAGCCCCCATATCGGGCATAGAGATCACTAAAAAAGTAATAAATAAACTTAAAAAAAATCCTAAGTGGCTAGAAGAGATGAACCCAGATGACCCATTCTGATGTCAATGTTCTTTGAGCATCTCCCCTACTGCTCACAGTAAATTCTGCAGGATTCCTGAGGTCACACACACACATGGCACCGAGAAGCCTCCTCTCCAGGTTATTATTACTTCAGGTGTATCTCCTGGCTCACAGTCCTGATCCTGACAAGTGCATTTTTTTTTTAATTTTTTTTTTTTAATGCTTATTCATTTTTGAGAGAGACAGAGACAGAATGCGAGTGGGTTGGGGCAGAGAGAGAGGGGGACACAGAATCTGAAGCAGGCTCCAGGCCCTGAGCTGTCAGCACAGAGCCTGACGCGGGGCTCGAACTCACAAGCTGTGAGATCATGACCTGAGCCAAAGTCGGACGCTCAACCGACTGAGCCACCCAGGCGCCCCTGACAAGTGCATTCTTATTGGACAATCACCACTTTGGCTTTCAAGGATAAAGCCAGCATTATTTAAATGCCACACTAAGCTTTTTAGCTACACTTCTTGGACTAATGAAAGCCTTTGAAGATGGGCATGGGCCCCAGCACTGTGTCCAGGGTGGGGCAGTGGAGCTCGTGGGCCACCTCCGTCCTGCTACCCTTGTCAAGCCCGTGGTGGGAGTGTTCGGGTCAGAAACGACAGTCACCCACTATCTCAGCAGGATCAGGTCGAGAGTGCCCTCTCTGCCTGGCACTGCTTTGAAATGAATAAAAATGGTGGGTTTTCACTGGATACCTTTCCAATGAAATGATATTTCCTCTTTAATACTCACTCCCCAAGGATGTGCCAGGAACATGGAAGCCAATTAAGATGGTAATCTCAGAATTAGGTTACAACACTTAAAATGTTTTCTTGTTAAATCTATTCACTCACACACTCAAAAACCACTTCCTGAGGGCCTTCTGTGTGGTAGGCGGTGTGCAACGTGCTGGGGCTACCAGACCAGAGAGGCCGCGAAGGCTGCCGGCATCCGGAGGTCGGCAAGCCCTACCCCACAGCCACACCGAGCCCTGTATTTTACCTTCTCATCCCTAAAGTGGGAACACGGCAGTCGCCTTACTGAGTTCCTATGACGAGTCCATGAGGCAGTGCAAGTGAAGTGTTGAGCGCATAGTAACACAGCCCCTGACAGCTAAAGACTTCCAATCTTTAAGGGAAACAGACACCATGGACACAAAATGGGTGATTATTCCCACCAGAGGGATGCTGGGAAGAATTATTTTGGTCTATGACAATTTGAAAATAAACACACGCAAAGTCAAATCACAATGGGTCCCTGGATACGTCTTCCGAGGCCACAACTTGGTTTTCAAGGACAATCACCCCTAGGGTGATTAGTGAGATCCTGTGCTTGTAGGGAGGGCAGCTGCCTGTGGCCCTCTAACTTCTGAGAGAGAACAGACTAACTCACCGAATGCCCAGATGGATGTCCCGGTATCATCTAACTTTGGAGAGACATGGAGACTTGGACTGGATAAATGTCATGACAGCACAAATGTTCCTTTTTTCCTGACTGATTCATCAGGGGGAAGGCTGATGAGTAGTCAAAGGACTCCCTAGTTTCATCACACAACGAAAAGCAGGTTTGGGGCAGGGTTCGGGCAAAGTCACCTGAACAAGTCACTCCAACGCTTCCAAGATTATTTGTGCTACCTGTGCAAAATGGAAGTAACATAAAATCCTGTCCACCTGACAGGACCATGCTTGAGTCAAGGGTGATGATGTGTGAGCAGATTATTTGCAAAATCTAATGTCATACACGATGAATTAGGAAAGTGTGCTCAGCCTTCTCTCATGCCTTTAGAAAACTGTATGGATTCCTCTTCCAGATCTGGTTCAGGGCTCAGGCCAATTGTTTAATGAAACCACAATTTGGCCGAAAAGCTCTGAAAAGCCAATCACTTGCTCTTTGCAAACAAGAAGAAAGGAAGTATTAAAGCTTTGGTTTGCTAACTGTAGTCCTTTGTTGCTAAGTTGGCCAGCAGTCCAGACTGATGATAAACAAGGATGTGGTCAATTCTTTTAAGGATTTCACTTCCCTTTGAGAGGCAATGCTTTCTCCCGAGATCCCAAGCACCACAGAATTTTCATTTGCAGTGTTTGCAAAGCAACTTCACATTCTACAGTGAGCTCTGGACAATCTCAGAACTTAGAGAAGGCTGATTTAGAGGCAAGAATATTTCTTCAACTATACTCATTTTATGATACTGCACTAGGCTTGAGTGAAATTGCTAACAAAGCCACAGGAAAGCACATTGGGTCTCAGTTAAAGAAATACAAAGGCAAATCATAAATGCTTAGCAAAATAAAATCTCGGGGGTGTCTATTTTTTAAATAAAATACATCCCTGGCCAGACAAGAGACGCCTCACGACCGTCCCATTTAACCATCTGGAAATACTTTCTATGTTCAATTTTTGGAGGAGTTAAAAAGAGAGACCAAAAAGACAGCTTTCAAAGGTGAAGAACTTGCTGTGTATAGCCTTTATAAAAATAGTTAGAGTCAAAACCATGATTCAGGAACAAGCTCTTTTCATATAATGTTAGGCAAGCCATCTAACCTCTGTGTTCTTTTTTCCTCTTTATATAATTAGTGCTTGTAAGATAATAAAAGCCACAGGTAAAAGTTCCAAAAGATTGAGAAGGCAGAAATGTTCACTCTTGCGTCCATCACTGCTATCTTTAGCTGAATAGTCTCAAAAGCTTTCTGCAAAGCTGAAGGATTCTGACTACCAAACTCAGCCACGTAGCTGGAATTAAACCACAGGATGAAAACCACACCTGACTAGGGAAGATAAACCAGGCAAACTATTGAACATTTCTTCCAGAAGTGGCTGTTAATATGCAGAGGCTGTCTCAGATGACGTGATTATTATGAAATGGAAATCTGTTAGGTCTCAATTAAAGCACTCATAACCAATGAGGTAAGCAAGTCCTATGGGGCTGGCGAAATTCAAGCGCAGTCCAACAGGAAGAACAGAGTTGGAGCAACTCTTCCTGTTGGGCAACCACGGCCAGATTTACTTTGAAAATACCGTGGACCACCACTACGTGCAACTAACGAGACAAAACCGACCCACCAACCAACCAACCAACGAACCAACCCCACAACGTTGAGCCATAAAATAAGCAAGTGTAAGGAAGTCCAACCAAGTTCTGTTTTTCCTCGTTGGCTGTATGGAACATTTTTTGAAATCAAATTCTTTCCAGAAACAACTGTTTTGCTGGTGTCCTAAACATAAGCTTAATTTTAGTCCCCTCTTAGAGGCTGAAAAAAGGGGTCTTAAAAGATATTCTTTACCCCCCTCCCCCAACCCTGAAAAGTATCAGGAGCAAAACTGGAGTCATCCAGTCACCTCGACTATAGTGTTGGCAACACGAACAAGGATTCATTTTGCAAGAACCTCTTTTTTAGGAAGAAGGGAAGGCTCAGCCAAACCTTCTCTCTTTTACAATGCACTTTTTCTCATCAAAAATAATTATTCGAACCAAATTTACCTCTCTGGGGAGGAGACATTCTAATCAGACCGTCTCTTGACTAAAAATATACCTGAGTCATTCACGCTGCTGTTCCTCTTGGCATAAGCACTCCGAACCACCTGCTCATAAACCTGAGCTCCGATGGTTCTCATGTTGTCCCGGATCAGAATGCCTTGAGCCTGCATCATGAAGAGGTAGGTGTTCACTGCAGAAAACAGACAAGAAGGGGAAAAGAGGTGAATTCAAAAGCCATCATGAAAACAAAACAAAATAAACACACATACTTTGGCTCACTTGCTTTCCTTCTTTAAAAAAGTTTTTTCAGGGGCGCCTGGGTGGCTCAGTTGGTTAAGCGTCCCACTCTCGCTTTCAGCTCAGGTCATGATCTCATGGTTCATGGGTTTGGGCCCCACATCGGGCTCTGTGCTGACAGCACGGAACCTGCTTGGGATTCTGTCTCCCTCTCTCTCTGTCCCTCCCCTGCTCGCTCTCTATCTCTCTCTCAAAAAAAACAACAAAAAACCAAATAAACAAATAAACATTAAAAAAAAAAAAAAACACTTTTTTCAGCTCTGAAACCCCCAAATGCCTTAACTCTATTTTTCATCCTGGGCTCTATGTTCCTAAGACACCAACATTCCTTGGGTAGCTGAGTAGGACTAAGGGGGCATTTCTGTCAATATTCAGCAGCTTGAGGAAAAAAACCCAAACACATAAATTACAAAAATTACATTCCACCAGGTCTTCAAACAGCCAATCGGTATTCTACGCTGTGATGATCACAAAACCTTCAATTTAAAGAAGATCTCATCTCGCTTTAAGTTCACCTTCTCAACGCTCACTGGCTATGAAAGGAAACCACTGACCGCTCTGCCTACTGCAAACACTTAGGTCCAGGTCTGGTCTTGGCAACCTTCTGAAAGTGGTGTACTAAGGTCCAGCTACTTTTCTCTGGGGGGATTTGGAGAGAAACAGAAGACAGTGAAAGACTGCCAGCAGCCTGACTACGCACCCACCCCAGCCCCGAAGTCCAAAGCAAATGGGAAACAAGCAGGCTGCTTGGTCCGCGTGCAAAGGAAACGCACTCCCTTCGTATTATACACGAGTACTGAGCTACGGTGCGGCACGCCCGAGACACGTATGTCAATGACCCTCAATAAGACCAAACCAAAGCAGAAAACATAATCGTGACACACGATCATTCGCATTGACTGTCCAATCATCGTCATCTCTGGGGAGTGAGCTCCACTTGTGTTTTCTGCAAGTGTCTCTGAGATGTCAAACTGGGGAGTCACAATTACGCGCGAGCACAGCGCCGGCATTCCCTGTGCAATCTCAACTACCAAGTCATCCGTTTCCAAGAAATGGTAAGGTTTCAAGACACACATTTGCAAATCTGAACTCCGGCCTGAGCTGGAGACCCTCTGAACACGTGGCTGCCCTCCCACCAAGCCCCAGGCAGGTCCCCTACGTCTGGGCCACTCGGCCAGCCTCGATGCACGTGGCCTCGGGCTGTCCTGGCTCTCAAACTAGACGTGTTTTGTTGACACTGCTTCACCATTATCATCTCAGTGTCCTGCACACGATGGGCTGTAAATAAGGGCTAAATGGATGAAGCGGAGAAGTCAATTTATTGTATTTCAGGCTACTGTGTTCGCTGCTTGCACTGGTGACGGGTGGGGATGGGGACGGACCATCGGGCACAGCTCTCCATGAAAAACCCCAGGTGGCCCGTGTTAAACAGGGACATAAAACACTGCAAAAGATTTCAATGATCCCGAAGGTATATCCGGAGCCAGAAAATAATAAACAAATTAAAAATAAAGTCGATGTTCAGAATGCTTTCGGGAGAAATTAGGTAGTTTCAATGTAGACCTTGCACCGACAGGAAGACAACCACACGTTAACTTCTGGCGTCAGCAGAGAGGGGATCAGAGTGTTTATTCTCTATAGTCAGAGGAGTTACGGCAAAAGAAGCCTTCAAATCCTTTAAAAAGTGTGATTCCGTGAAGCCTCTGAAAGCAAGAGTCACATCCCACTTTCTTTTTACAGCAGGTAGACAGCACAATGCCCAGTCACAGGAGGTAGGCAGTCCAGAAATATCCCTAAACAGAAGATGTAAAGTCCATCCAGTAATAAATTTCTAATGTAGTTTCATGGTATCTTTTATTATTATAATATGTACATTATACATATTATATATAACTGCCCTGAAATCTTCCTTCCATCCCCAACATAGTACTAAACCAGCTGTCTTCAATAACATAGAAACAAATATTAATTAAACTTTGTGTGTAAAGCTGTTAGTTCGTGGGCACTGCAAAAAATCACTGCTTTCCTCTCCCTAAATTCCACAATCTTCTCGGTGCCTGTTATCTCCTACACTGCAAAGGACACTGTTCTTGGCCCCTCTTTTAAATTCTCTCCCTTTTTTTGTTCTGGAATCCCAAGGGCAGGATTCCTCTGGGGCAGTTCTCAAACTTTTCCCTGCCCACCACCTTGCAGAGCTACTTGGAGCCTGAGTGGGGCCCATGAATTTGCACTTGTAGCAACCTCACAGGCGATACCAGTGTGGGGGTCTGAGGACATTTCCAGAACCAGGGCTCTAGGGAAGTGCAGCTACATAATAAATAGTTAAGTTGCGTTCACTGAGCACTTCATTACATAATTCTTTATCTCATTTAATCCTCATAATTATCCTAAGAGGCAAGTAAGAACTATTCAACTTACAGTCAGTTTCTAGACTTCAGGTTCTCTATGCAGCTTCACCAAGGTCAGCTGAGCCACGGACCCGCACAGGTGCACCCATGCTCAGAGGACTGAGCTTTAGGACTTTGCTCTAGCCAACACCTCTCCCTCAAAGATTTCAGGTACCCACGTGGCTTACACGATTGCTGTTAAGGAGCTAGCTTTCCAGTCTTTATCTCCTACACAAAGCTGCCAGATGGATCTTTCTTAATTACAGATTTATCCACACTGCTCCTGCTCAAAAGCCTTCCATCCGGGGGCTTCGGCGCTCCTGACTACCATGCAAATCTCATTAATCCTTCAATTCCCAGTTACACACTTCTTTAGTCCTCCTCGAATTTCTGTGGTACTGTTACAGATTATCAAAAATCTGCCCTTTGTTTATATTTCGTCTTAGTTTCCTAACAACTGTCTCATGTGTTGGTCTTCCCATTCAAATAACAAATTTACTCAAACCACCT